TGTAAATATTTTTCCATAAAGTCAGTTTCCTTTTTTTTTTGGATTCTGGTAATGAACATGAAATTTTATTTCAAGACCTTGATCCAAAATATGTATAGATTTTCTGCTGTGGATATTTTCTAATATTATCTATGGAGAAAAAAAGACCTAAACAAGGTATAACTCTAAAGCTATAAGATAGGGTTTCATGTGTGCCTTGTGGAAAATAGGTTCATTACTTTATGGCCATAGTAGATGGGTAGGGCTGTTAAATAATTTGTTTGGGTATTCAAGAGAACTTCAACAAGTGCTAATGCTAGACTGCTTTATTTTCAAGGCAAAGAGCCTATATTAGGTGAGTCAGACACACCCACACAAGGCCAACAGTAGTAGATGAGGGCAAACACACATACTGGGAATCATAGTAAATCAGGACTCAGGAACAAATATCTAGGAGGTAACAGGACATGTATGAACATGAGAGTAGGTGAGGAGTGAGTGATAAACGTCAGGAGTCAGCAGTACAGACTATGTGTCAGAGAACCATAAAGTCGTTCCACAGATAAGGGGTCAGGCACAAAAGTAGTCCCCAGTACAGGACAAGTAGCTCTATAGAATTGGTGACTCTAGAGTTGAAAGGTCAAGTCAACCACAAAGGGGAATGTGTATCATTGTACATGCACCTAGATCACTCAATAAGTTTTCTTTCCTTGTTTCTGGGCTCTTCTATGAGTCCCATGAGATAGCAGGAAATACCAAAAAAGATTATCTTATAGATGGGAAAAGGTAAATTAGTCAATGATACCTAAGGTGGGCAGTGTAAGTAGCTGCTTCTGGTGAGCAAACTCCTTGGAAATTGCTTAAAATGTCAAGAAAATAAAAGAGTTCATGCCAAAAGGGCTATAAAACAGTGCATATCCTTTGATCTAGGATTACCACTATTAGGTCTGTAACCCAAAGAAATCATACAAATGGGAAAAGGACCCATATGTACAAAAACATTTATAAGCAGCTCTTTCTGTGGTGGCAAAGAATTGGAAATTGAGGGGATGACTGTCAATTGGGGAATGGCTGAACAAGTTGTGGTATATAAATGTAATGGAATACTATTGTTCCATAAGAAATGATGAGCAGGCAAGATTTCAGAAAAACCTAGAAAGACTTGCATGAACTGATGATGAGTGAAGTGAGCAGAACCAGGAAAACATTGTACACAGTAACAGCAACACTGTGTGATGACCAACTTTGATAGACTTAGCTCCTCTCAGCAATGTAGTGATCTAAGACAACCCCAAAAGACTCATGATGGAAAATACTATCCATTTCCAGAGAAAAAACTTTCTGAATGCAGATCAAAACGTACTATTTTCTCTTTTTTTTTCTTTTTTATGGTTTTCCCCTTTTGTTCTGCTTCTTTATCAACATGACTAATGTGGAAATATGTTTAATATGATTATGCATGTATAGCCTATGTCAGGTTGCATGCTGTCTGTTGAACCCCAATTTTAAAACAGAGCCTGTTCTAAGAAAGAGACAAACAAAATCAGGGTGTGTGTCCACAAGCTGGCTTGACATGCATTGCATAGGAGTTACAATCCAGAACTAGGCCCCCCCAAGGGGGACGGTCCAGAACTGGTTCAATTTGGGATTTACAGATTCAGGGGTACAGAGATATATATATACCTTTTCAACAGGGACTGATATCGACCCACCATCATTCTAGACCACTCCCAGCCTTGGTCTATCTAGACAGAAGAATCTGTCTCCACCTAATCCTGAGTAGGATAAAATCAATTCAGGCATGGGTCCGGTTTGACCAGGATAAGAAGATTCAATGCAATCTCATTATTAGTAATATCCTTCTGAAGAACTTTGGAGGGGAAGCTAGGTGGCACGGTAGATAAAGCACTGGCCCTGAAGTTAGGAGGATCTGAGTTCAAATCCGACCTCAGACCAAACACTTGACACTTACTAGCTGTGTAACCCTGGGCAAGTCACTTAACCCCAACTGCCCACCCCCCAAAAAAAAGAACTTTGGAGCAGAAGGCATGCGGGTGGAGCTCTGAGTCTCTAAGATGGAAAAAATTCATTTTTCACATGTCTTAGGGAGGGAGGAGGAAAGAAAGGAGGGAAATTTTCTAAAAGTGAATGCTGCAAACTAAAAAGAAATAAACTTAATAAAAATAAAATAAGATACAATTTTAAAAAACCTTCTTAAACTAGTTCTGCTTCCCAACTAACCCTTTCTTGTAATATTTTCCTACTCTCCCACTTGGAATCATCATTGCTCTTCCTTTCTTCTTCATTTCTTATATCCTACTTTCTAAGAAAGAACTCTGAGAAATGTCTCAAAACCACCTTTTCCTCTTTGACCTACTGTCCTCTTCTTGGTCTTTGATCTCTTCACACCCAGATTACAGGGATGGTTCTACCTGGCCTACCTGATCTTTTAATCTTCGATCTATTCAGTTGACTGCTTCAAGATTAATCTTTCCCTAGCATGGTTTTACTATCCCCTTCTCAGAAACCTTCAATGGTTCTCTATTTTCTTCATCAACAAGAAACAATGTGCCCACTTTTCAAAGCTCCTCCATCATAGGACTTTATACTATCATTCTAATTTTATTTCCCACTACTGTCCGGTATGAACCCTCTCTTCTAATCACATCAGTTTTCTCACTGTCTCATGAACACTGCTCTCACATCTTCATTAAACTTGTTTCCATAACTGGATGCCCAGTGAAGTGTTCTCCCTCTTCCTCTATTTCAGTCACTCAGTCAGTAAACATTTATTAAATGCCTACTATGTGCCAGGTACCATGCTAAAGGCTAGGAAGGCAAAGAAAGGCAAAGGCAAATTTGAAAGGAAATTTTATCAATTTTAAGAACCTACACCAGAAATTATAAAGATATTTACCGTTAGGGAGTATTTTCAATAAATTGGCTTAATATTTTTATTTTATTTGATCAGTATAGCATATTGTCATGCAAAAAATCTTAATCTTATTCATACTTCAAAATACTCATCTTATTCTAATAATTTCATTTGTCTTGATTTTATTTCCACAAAAGAAGTATAAGCTGCTTCAGAGATACCATGTTTTATCATTCTCATGTATCCTCAATGGCACTAAACAGATATAAGTAGGTGTTCAATGAATATTTTTGACTGTATGAATACAATATAATACAAAGTCTGTTTTCATTCAATGGTATTTAATGTATGACAACTGGATGCTTGATAATATATTAGATAATGTTTTTCTACATTTAAAGTTAGTGATTTTGTAGCATACAAAGTTGTTACATTGTTTTCTTTATTCATATCTGTTTTAAAATTGCAATTTAAAACCACAGCTAATGAAATGCGGTACTCACAAAGATCTTAGCTCTATATTGTGGGATTCTCTATGATTGATTCCCTTTGGCTCATGACTCCACCAACAGCTTTCTCTAGTAACATGAGACTTTATCCATACGTAAAAGATCCTGGTGCTCCTATATAAGTACTTATAACATTGGACACAAAGGAGACTTTATTTAACTCAGTAGCAAAGTAAAAGGACTAAAATCTGAGTCCACATGTAGCCAAGATGACTTTTCTTCTCTCTGGGACATGAGAAAAAGTTTGTTCACCATGCCTGGAATGCATTCTACCACCACCTCTGAGTCTCTTTTTTCAAGTTTCCATTCAAATATCATCTTCTACTTGAAATTTTACTTGATCCCCTCCCCAAGCTCATCATGCCTTCCTCCCCCAAAGTATCTTGTAATCTTTTTTTTTTACATATTCCATATATGCATTTTTATGTACATTTGTTTCATCTAAAAGAATGTGAGCTCCTTGAGGTCAGGACTATTAAGTTTAAGAAGACTTGATAAGACTTACAGGAATGCAGAGAAAGGAAAAGAGTGGGAGAGAATAAAAGACAATTCCAAGATTCTAAGGCTATTGACAGGAAAGTGTGGAAGAGCAGCTGGTTTTGGCAAAAGACTCAAGTTTTTTGTTAGATTTCAAACAAATTATTAGTATATTATTCTATAATGAGAATAGTGAGTAGAACTCAAAGTTATTTGGCATGACATAGAAGATAAAGCTCTGGCAGTTCCAATACTACCTCAAACACTATCTATGTGATCCTATCAAGTCACTCTTTCATGCTCAGTTTCTTTATCTGCAAAATGGGGATAAAAATAATGACTACCTCACAGGGTTGTTGTGAGGAGCAGATGAAATAACACATGCAAATTGCTTTGCCAGATTTTTAGAGTTTTATATATGTGTGTGAATTGCATGTGTATATATACACCATGATGTATGTGTGTATGTATATATACACATACACATATATGCACACATGCATATAAAATACATAAAACAAACGTGTCTATATGTGTGAATACAACATATAGTGTGGATATGTAGGGATATATATAGAGCATATATGCAGCATGTGTGCGTAGGTGTGTGTTGTATTTTTAAGGTTAACTTGCCTTTTTTAATGGATGAAATGAAAGTTTATTGTGAAGGTCATTAATTCTGATGTTTAAAAAATTAGAACATATTCAGAAGTTTTGCTCGAAAGGCCAATACAAAAGAAAATGACAATGTACTTTTCTCAGAAGGAAAAAAGGGCTGCATCAATCTTCCTGATATTCATGTTGTTTTTCAAGCCATCTAGTTTACTAACATTTTTTTCATGAATTATTTTTATTTCAAAAAATGCACTGAGGTGAAGCCTAAATTCAATGATTGCTTCCAAACTATTTAAATCACTTCTTAAAGCCCAAGAATTTTATTTGATCTCACACTATCAAACATAAAAGTAAAGGGTATTCACCATTCATGAGCAGCAAAGCAAGTGCAGTGTGAGAGACAATACCACTTTAGCTGAGGACAAGTAATAATCACACTGACAAATTCTGCTTGGTGAGGACTACCTACTTTTCCTCTGAAAGTTGTGATGCAAGCACTCCCACCCTTTTCTGAGAACACAAAAAGCCTGACTCAGTCTGCTACCTCACAGGCAGCTGTCTCTATTAAAGTTGCTCCAGTCTGCACACTTCCCTATTGAGTGAGTTCCTCTGCAAAGATGAAGTTCGTTTACTTTTACTTGCTGAGCTCAATTGTACCAGCTTTTCATAATGCTGGGGCAGTGGAAGATAAAGCAGAGGAAACGAAAGATGAACATTTTGCTGCTGCTTGTCCTGTGAGGCTGGAAGCAAGTGGACAGTGTAAAGAAGGGGAGGAGTGCTCTTACCAGATGAACCTGCCTTCCCTGACCATCCAGCTACCCAGGTCATTTAGCATGATTGAACAGGTATTCAAAGAAGTTCAAAATCTCAAGGAAACTGTAAATAATCTGAAGAAATCTTGCCAAGAATGTAAACTGCAAGCTGATGATAACCAAGAAATGGGAAGACATGAACCACTGCAGCCTAACACAAAAGCTCCTGAAAAGGAGAGTGACAACAGAATTAAGGAATTAGAGAGTGAAGTTAACAGGCTGTTTTCCAATCTGAAGGATGCAAAAGATGAAATTAACTCACTTCATGGTCGCCTGGAGAATCTCAACTTGGTAAACATGAACAACATAGAAAATTACGTTGACAGCAAAGTGGCTAATCTGACATTTGTGGTGAACAGCTTGGATGGCCAATGTTCATCTAGGTGTTCAAACCAGTCGGAATCGAATTCAGCTTCTGGTATGTGAAATGTGTATTGTTATCAGTTATTTTTACAAACTAAGTGATCTGAAAGCAAGTAACATTTTGAAAATAAAAACTAGAAGGGAAATTGTAAGAAGGATAAATTACATGAGCCTTTTTATGTGTGTCTACAGAGTTAACATAGAAAAACTAATGTAATTTTGAGAATAAGAGCATAGCTCTAATTTGTTCATAAAATTATACTGAATTTTATTAGTTCCACTAGAGAGCACTTTCAATTTCACTACTGTTTCAAGATCTGTACAGAATTCTCACCAACATATTATTGCTAATGTCATATAAAAGCAGATGAAAAATATCCATAGATATAGTGTGATTGCTTTATGAATATTTTCTAATACATTTAATCAATCTGGTTAATCAAGATCTACTTAAAATCCAAATCAATATTTAAAGTTTTAACAGGTTAGAAACATTTCAAGGATTTTGAGTACCACTTATTAAACTCTCTAAGTAAGTAGAATCAATGATCTGTGAAAATTTTTCATTTTTTAGTTCAAAATTACATAATCACAAGTATCAAGGGGAAAAGAGATTTTATGGGTGGAATAAAAACAACTATGTGGGTTCATATCTATGCAAGTCTTTCCACATTAACATTTCCTAATGGCATATAATCCTTTTAAGTGGAGATTTTTGGCAAGCAGCTAATATTTTTACAATGAAAAATAAGACTCTTGGACTAACGTGTGTTTTGATTTCTTTATCCATTCTCTATCTCTTTTTTGGGGTTTAGAACTATGGCATTTTAAAAGGAAAAAAATATTTTACTAGAATCAACTTAGAGAAACACAACTGGAAGACTGCATTACACAAAAAAATTAACTTAAACTTAAACATTAATACTTGAATAATAAATACCTTGTTATTTTGATGTCACGACTAAATTTCCTTTTAAATCACTTAGTAGAAGTCAAAATAGAAGCATATGGAATTGTATCAGGAAAACTACAGGATTAATCATTAAATACAATTCTATGAATTATCAAGCTTTGTACAAACCCTCTAAGCAAGCCAAATAAAGGTTTAAAAAAAATTGTGCAGGAAAGATGGGTGTGAAGGGACATATGAGGCAGAAGCCTTTTAGCCACATCTAATACGTAGTCTTTTATCATTAACTTTGTATAGTAGCTACTCCTCACAAGGCTTTTATGATTATACTGATTTTACAGGTGTGGAAAGTAAGCTACGTTTGAGATTTGCCCAAAGTTATTCTTAAAGTGGTTGTGAAAACAGTATTATTATCCAGGCTCTCTATTCATGGGTCGCTTCTTTCCACAGTTTTAACATCTCAGAAAAAAAGTACGATTCCTGAACATTTAGAAAGAACATACTGGAGTCTTAAGTATACAAATACAGACATGTGCATATATATATATATATATATATATATATATATGTGCACGTGTAACATTGCTCTTGAAGTCTGTCCACAATTCCATCTGTTAGATGAAATTTTCTTATAATAAGAATTATTTCCTACTTTAATAGCAAAAAAGACTCCCTTTTATTTTACTGAATTTTTCTCTATCACAGTTATAAGCTAAATATATTTCATAACAAATGTCTAGGAAAGTAATCTAATACACCTAAAGGATGCTAGCTCTAGGCTCTCTTTCTGCCCTTTATGAAGTATTCTGGCTTTTTTCTACATTGAAGAAGAATTTTCTAAAGTGAACAGCTTCTCTGTGTATAAACAGTAGTTTAAATGAAATTAAGTTAAAGCTTGGTTACAACTTTGTGATTATGATAGTTTGATAAGCTATAACTTTATTTATACTTATCAATTATACCTATTACCTGAGTTGATCCTATGTTTCAAGTTATAGTCTGAATCAGAAGAACTAGATGATTACGATGATTAACTTTCTCATTTAAGTTTAGTAAGCACAAGAGCTTTTAATTTTATAGAATAAAATACCTCTTCACCCCACCCCCAAATACATAGGTTACTCAGTGTTTGTTTTTAAACATATTTTAAAATTTACATTTATAAAACAGATCATTTAAAGAGTGATTTTTCATTTTCTAAAGCCATTTCCACATTAAAAAAAAAAGATTTCCTTTAATATAGCTACATTTTTCTTTGGCTTATATAACTACTTCCAAGCAGCCATGTCAGGCCCCTTTAGGAAAGTTACCGTCATTGTTGGTAACTGTGGCTGTCAGCAGTTGTGATATCAGAATCACCGGGAATAAACACAGAACACCTTACACCCACACCCTAGCAGTCATATGCCTAACAGTACCCCTCTTGAAGTTGGTGGCATTGGTTCCCAAAGGGGTTCTGGTTTCACGCCTTAGTTCTGGGACTACCACAGATGATAGTTCTGTTAGTTCCTGAAAATTCTCATTGTACTGGTAGCTGTAGCTCTACTGTGAGCCCCCAAAAGAAAGCCAGCAGGCTAGATGCTCCTAGGGTTCAGGTATGTCCAGGGAATGTTTTGGGGTCCCTGCCAAAGGCAGTCCCTGTATATTTTTTGGGGAAAGTTTCAGTAAGGAGATTCCTCAGAACGGGGTCTAAGGGCCATTGGGCCAGAAACACAGAAACCAGTAGGATCCCTCTTAAGCTGCTGTGTCAGCTTGAGGGATATGTTTGGGTGCACATTCTATTGGAAATGACATTGTAACACATAACATTACAATGAGGTTCTAATCTATAACAATTTATATATATACATATATATATATACACACACACACATTGATAGATGTATGTATATATGTATAGATATATGTAATTATATATGTATGTATATATATTGTTTAGCATGAGCTCTAAAAGAACATCAACAGCATGCTTATGTAATTGACAAAAACTTTATCCAATTTCCGAAGCCATCAAATCTCATAAAAATTGGCTGGTAGTGAATTTCTTTCACCAATTTCCAACATAATCTAATTAATCCAGAAAATCAAGCTACTCTTGATTATGTTGCACAGAAAAGTTAAAGAATTTCACCCAAAGAACAGTTTTTTCTATAATCAGTCTGACTTATTGGTTAATTGGTTAATTATTATATACTTTTTATGTAATATAAGAATTTTATTCATTGTCCTATCAATATATGGTCAGGGCTTGAAATATTTCCAGCAGTGTTTAAAAAAAAAGAAAAAGAAAAAACAAATAGGCTGACACTATCTGAACTCTTTAAACTTCTACTAAACAATCAAAGTCAATTTGCATGATCCTAGGCTACCAGGCAAGGCTGTCAGAGGATGAGACCGTGAGGAGGAGAACTCATGAAGTATGGTACCCTGGGACTGATTAAAACCAGTGTGAATAAAGGAAATCCAATAAATGTGAAATCCAGGGGTCATCTAGACAATACCCCATGAGTAGTTTGTGTACTATTCACAGGGTAACTGTACTTTTCTCCCCATTACTTAGTAAAATTACACTTTATGAGTCTCTGACCACCATATTTCATGAGTTCTCCTGGTGGTCTCATCCCCTAACAACCTTGCCTAGCAGCCTAGGTGTAAAATTTCCCAGTAGTAAAATTTTCTAGTAGCCTAAGCATAAAATTTCCTAGTCCATGCATTCACTTTCTGCCCCTGATATCTGTCTTCAATGATTACAAACTGGAGATCATTTGCAGCCATAGCGATGGGCCTGCGGGATGGAATTAGGTGCTCAACCATGTTCTGTTACAAGGTTGGCAGCATACCTGAAGTTAGAATTCTGGCTGTTGTAATTCTGACACCTCATCAGATTAAAGGGAAGCAGCCTGAAGCTCTTCTATACAGATGTCAGCTCCACCAGCCCTAGAAAAGCTGGGATCATACAGTTTACAAGACTTCAGAATAAAACCAGGTACATGTTAAAGAACCTAATTCTGTTCCATAGGGTCATTAAAACCCAGAACTTAGTCACAAGTCCTGTGGATGACTGAGTTATCTGTAAAATGAACTGGGGAAGGAAATGGCAAACCACTTCAGTATCTTTGCCAAGAAAACCCCAAATGAGGTCACAAAAGTTGGACATGATTGAAACAACTGAACAACAACAACAACTAGAAAAGGGCTTTACATTACAGAATTAGGATAAAGGAATTTGAGTCAGTTTAACAGAGCAATGTAGAAATTTCATTTTTGCTATTACTCTTTAACTACTATTTAGTTCTTATATCAAACTATATTCTTATACCTATAAATTATTTTTACCCATAATTCTTTGTAAGCATAATTTGTACTTATCAATGAAATAAATGATCTTTTCTCTCCTGCCCCACCAGCAAATATTCAACAACATCTAATATACAGAGACTGTTGGGATTATTATGGGAAAGGCAGAAAGAGCAATGGAATCTACCAAGTTACGCCTGATCCAAGAAATAAGAGCTTTGAAGTTTATTGTGACATGGAAACCATGGGTGGAGGATGGACAGTAATACAGAACCGTCTAGATGGAAGTACTAACTTCAACAGAACATGGGAGGACTACAAGAAAGGCTTTGGAAACCTTAGCAGGGAGTTCTGGTTAGGTAATGATAACATTCACCTTCTGACCAAGAGTAAGGAAATGGTCCTTAGAATTGATCTTGAAGATTTTAATGCTGTCAAGTTATATGCTGTGTATGATCAGTTCTATGTGGCCAATGAATATCTCAAGTACCGTTTACATATTGGTAATTATAGCGGAACTGCTGGAAATGCTCTGCATTTCAACAGACATTATAACCACGACCTTAAATTTTTCACCACCCCAGACAAAGACCACGATAGGTATCCCTCTGGAAACTGTGGACTTTACTACAGTTCTGGTTGGTGGTTTGATGCATGTTTATCTGCAAACTTAAATGGCAAATACTACCACCAAAAATACAAGGGTGTCTTCAATGGCATTTACTGGGGTACCTGGCCTGGCATGACTAGTGGTGAACCAAATGGCTTTAAGCATTCCTTCAAGAGGGCAAAAATGATGATTAGACCAAAATTACTTTCACCATAAGTTACTACTCATTCTACCAGCTTTTCATCTAGTTATTTTCCTCAGCATTTTCTCTTCCTTCCCCTCTTTTCCCCTTCTCCTCACTTCCCTTCCCTTTTGCAATAAATGCCTTCTATATACAATTTGATATTTTCTCCCAGTTAATCTTAAGACAATCTTTCCATAACCAAAATATATATCTAATGAGTTTAAAGCAGACGTAATATTTTAAATAAGACAAAATGATAGTAATAGCTTCTTGTGAAAGTCTTAAGTTTTTTTGTTGTTGCTACTATCCAAAAGTACATTTGGAAACAATGGTGTTTATATTTCAATTCAATTATATATATAATTCTATTAATCAAAAGAAATATCCCTTTTGTAGAGATAGTGGCATTTGTTAGCTTTATTTTCGACAACTGCAACTCTTAATTTCTTCATCCAAATGGCCTGTTTTAATACAAGTAAGCTATGCCTGGGTATAAGCTAGACACTTCGGGCACACAAACTTTTTCAAGTCATAAGTTACACTTATAAAACTGAATAAACTGTTATTCTGCTATTCTTTTTGTTTCCCTATGTGTCTAACACATATCCTGGAACTTTCTCACTTAAATAAAGCTTGACTCTATATCTATTATATAACCTCAGATAAATAATTACTAAGCAGTCCTATGGACATGCCTATTATATATAACCTCAGATAAATAATTACTAAGCAGTCCTATGGACCATGCTTTTCTATACATTGTTATGAAAGAATATTCATACTGTTATGAAAATATCTCAACATTTTTTGGAATTTGTAAGCCATAAAAGCAGTTGGAAATAATATGTCTTGACAATCACTGTTTAAAGACAATCTGTTCACTGTTCATAAACTTGTCAGATGCTTGATACCAAAGACTGCTTCAATATAAAAAAAAAAGTCTTTCCTCTGTTCACTGTGCACAATGGTTTCTTATTTAAGGTTGCTCATTTGTGCCAGACTACTGGTAGAGGGTTTTTTAGTGGAGGGGAAATGAAGTATTTGTTTGCAAGTCAAAATACTCTGAAAGTCAATTTTCTTTCTTTGTGACATTGTAATAAAATGTTTTTCCACATAGAAAATTAAGTTTCCTAAAATTGTTCATAATATATTTATCATAGATAGGTCAAAGTTGGATTTACTAATTTTAACCTATATATTATTTGCCCATTATTAGTATATTGTTGCTTTCAAAAAAGAGAAAGAAAAAATGGAGCCTCTTGATTCTTTATCATCAATCAGTTTCTGACACATACATCATACTATATGGAATTTGTAAAAAAAAAACACACAAAAAAAAGTATGCCTAATTTAGCTATTGTAGAAATTACATGCATCTGAAAGGCCAACAATGATATCCTATGAAATGTGCTGAGCACCCAAAAAATGCTATAATAACCCACTCTGTATTATATTTGAATCAGCCTAAACACATCTGCTCTTAAACTTTTCAGTGATTCTTTCTGATCTGGTAGCAAAATATTCAAATTAGGTTTAATTAAGTTGCATGTTTTGTTCACTACTTTATAATTATTTTTTTCATAGAATAGGGCACACAATTGCTTCCAGTGATCACAATTTATTCTCCAAAACATTCAGCTCATAGCTATCTTAGCCAAAGATGATATATGAAGTCACCACTTTAAGAAGGAAGATGTATCAAATTGTATGAAATATACAAACCATTAAATCAATATTCAGCTAAACACGGGAATCATGTATTTAACCACAATGTTTCTGACTAGGTTAAAAATGTAAAATTAAGAAATTTTGAAATGTAAAATGAAGCTCAGCAATGAGCAAAATGCAAACTATTGGTGAATGCTTCAAAGGAAGTATGGATTTCAAACATATGTTTTGTATTTTGCTTGATCTTATCTATTTTTCACATTTAAAATACCAATACTGTAAAATAGGTAACTTTGACTTGGAGTAAAAAAATTACACAATATTTATTTCAACTAATATATAAAGTGGCTAATATATGAAAGAATTTACTAAATGTTATGTTATCTTATATGAAGTCAAGTGATATAAGATACCCTAAGGTGAAATTATCTTTGTCAAAAATCTGCTTGTATGAATGGAAACCATGTTGATTTTATGGGGGATTCAGAGTCACACTTTAGAATTCAATAGTATATAGATTTATTAGTATATAGATATTCAAGAAATATCTTGTTTTAACTCTTCTATCATTGGGGCAAAGGGGTATTTTCTTCCTGATCTTTTTAAAATCTCTTCCTTTCTCACAAAATTCCCCAGACTTAATATTGTGAAGAACTGGCCACTAGAAGGTGTGCATCTGGTTTTTATTCCAATATCAAGACTATGATCATCTTAACTTTTGGTGGGAACAAACTGAACTAGAACTGGCCAAAGGGATGTCCTCTTCTCCAGAGTACTGCATCAGTGAATGAGGCTTTAAACTACTTAGTTATGCTAGTCACAGACATAGCTTAAGTTAACCCTGAATTACAGAGAACTCTATGACAGGATGGGACCTCTCTTCTCAAGAGTTTAGTTTATTCTTCAATTTAAAAAGCTTAAGTAGATCTTTTCTGAATTTTTGGTTGTGAGTCCACAATTTAAACTTATATCACTGATACTATACATGGTACCACTAAAAATTAACTTGGGCTAATATCCATACATAGGGTACAAGAATTACCTAATTTATTAATTAACTCCTATACAATTCCATCATGAAAGTAAAATCATTTGTTAGCAATCTTAATGACAGCTACTATTCCATGAAAATATTGACTAGAGTTAGACCCTTGGAAATGCAAAATATGTGTAAAAGTCATATGTACCTGGGAAAAAAAGCTCATTTTAGTGTCAGGGATTAATTAACATATTAAACTAAGGAAATATTAGTTAAATAACAGCATAAATATAAAAAAAGCCAAGCTAAAAATGTGAATTTGCTAATAATTGTTTCATGTTTTTGGATAGCCACCCAAGTTCAGTTTTAGCTGTGATATATAATTTTTAAGATAAAGGTGAAAAAAATCTTTGGGTAAAGTTGATAAGATTTTGTAAATATGATTTGTATTTTTCTGTGTTTAAAATGGTCTTATGTAATAGCTTTTAAATTTTGTAAAATAAAAGATTAATCTGAGAATATCTGTTGCTTTGACGTGAAAAAGTATTATTTCTGTAAAACGGTATTGTTCTAACACTGTATTCCCAAAAGTTCTACGGACATTATTAACTGGTAAAATATCTTTGTATCTTGGGAATTTCATGATTGGGTAGCTAGATGGCACAGTGGATAGAACACCAGGCCTGGACTTAGGAAGATCTGAGTTCAAATTCAACCTAGATACTTACTAGCTGCGTGAACTAGGGAAAGGCACTTAATCTCTGTTTGCCTTAATCTACTAGAGAAGGAGACAGCAAACCACCTCCAGTATCTTTGCTAAGAAAACCCCAAAGGGGTCCCAAAGAGTTAGATATCACTGAACAACCACAACAAAAGTGCATAAAAAGAAGAAAATCTTGCTTTATAATAATATAACAAATTTCTGAACTATTTGAACTTCAAGTGTTTGGGAACTGTGTTGAGCTGTACATGCAAGTCTTTCGAGACATAATTTTCCACATTGTTGAACTGCAAAATTACATGCAAGGCTCGGAAACATCTTGTTGTTTCTCAATCAGCAAGCATTTGTTAAACACCTACTGTACGTCAGCCATTGTGCTAGGTACGAAGGATACAAAGACAGAAATGAAATCGTCTCTGACCCCAAAGAACCTACACTTTTTAGGAATAAACAATAGGCAAACATACAAGTAAACAGAAATATAGAGTATATACAAGCAAATATAAAAGATGTACAGGGTAAGCGCAAGGTAATTTGAGGGAAGTAGCTAATAAGTTCAGGAAAGGACAGTAAGAGACAGAGACAATATAAGAGACAATACTTGAGCTGCAGATATCTATTTCAGGTATGAGGGGATAGTGTGTGAAAGGACACAGGGATGGGAGACAGACTGTCAGCCACCGTCGACCAGTGCATCAGTTTGGTTAGAATGCAGACTGTGTGAAGGACAGCACTAGCGGATAAGCATGGAAAAGTAGGCTGAAGTTATACTACGAAGAGCTTTAAATGCCAAACAGAAGAGATTATATTCTATCCTACAGGCAAGAGAATGCCATGGTCAGACCTGTGCTTTAGGAGTGTTACTTTGACAGCTATGTGGAGGATGTATTGTAGAGACCTAAGTCAGGGAGATCAATTAAGAGGCTGTTTCAGGGAAGCTAGGTGGCTCAGTGGATAGAGCACTGGCCCTGGAGTCACAAGGACCTGAGTTCAAATCCAGCCTCACACAATTTACTAGCTGTGTGACCCTGGGCAAGTCTTTTAATTCGAAGTGCCTCCCCCTGCCCCTGCCCCCCAAAAAGGGGCTATTGCAGTAGTCCAGGTAAAAAATGAAGAGGTTCTGATGAAGGTGTGAGTAAAGAAAGGTAAATGTTGTAGAGAAGTTTTGTATGTAGAAATCAATCAGTGAGACAAATATTTATCAAACACCTATCATGTGCCAGACATTTTACTAATTAATGGAATTATAAGTTTACATTCTATTGGGGGAGACAAAAAATACACATAAAATATACAGAGCATAAAGATAAAATTAAAATATATTTATGTAGATATACTCATGTATCTATACACATAAAGTAATTAACTACAAGGTCCTCTGGGAGAGGGTACACTAGCAGCCGGGGGGGATCATGAAAGAATTCATGTAGGAGATGGTGTCTGAGCTGTTAAAGAGAGATTCTTGGAGGTAGAGGTACACAGGCAGAGCACTCCAGGTGTGTGGGATGACCAGTACAAAGGCGTGGAGATGAGAGATGAAGTACACTGAGTATCAACAAGAGACAAGTCAGTCATATTGGGGAAGATCATAGCACGCAGTAGGGAGAATGCTTTTTCGTTACTTTGAAAAGACAGGCTGGGTCCTAGTTGTAAAAGGTGATAAACAAAGGAATTTACATTGTATCTTGAGCATATAGATGGTGCCGTGGATAAAGTGCTGGGCCTGGAGTCAGGAAAACTCAGCTTCATGATCTGGCCTCAAACACTGTGTGACCTGGGCGAGTCTCTTAACCCTGTTTGACTCAGTTTCCTCATCTATAAAATGAGCTGGAGAAGGAAATGGCAAACCACTCCAGTATCTTTGCCAAGAAAAACCCAAATGGGGTCATGGAGAGTCAGACACAACCGAAAACGAATGAACAACACAACAACATATTTTATCCTAGACAGAGTAGGAAACCATTGAAGTTGGTGGAGTAGGGGACTCACATGGTCAGATTTGTGCTTAGGGGAAATTACTTTGGAAAGAGTTTGTAAGATGAACTGGAGAGATTTGAGGCAAAGAAAACAATTAGGAAGCTGTTGCATTAATCTAGATAAGAGTTGATGAGGGCCTGCACTAAGGTCCTAGTTATGTGTGTAGAAGGAAGGGGCAAAATTGGAGAAGAATTATGAAAATACAGAGAGAGTAAGGAGTTGAGGATAATGCTGAGATTACAGACCCAAGACAGTGAAAAGATGGTTCTGCTTTCTACAAAGATAAGGGAGTTTTGGGAAAGGGGAGGTTTTGGGGGGGAAGAATAAATTCTGTTTTAGACCTGACAACGCTTGGCAAATGCGGGGGCGGGGGTGAGGGAAAGTAAAGAGTCAAGGATGAATTTGAGGGTGAGAACCTGAGCGACTGGAAGAGGATAATGATGGCACATTCAACAGAAATAGAGAAATTAGTGGCAGGAAGGAATGGGGGAAGGGGGCAGAGAAGAGTCCTTTTAGGATATGTTCAATTTCAGATGCTTATGTGGGACATCCAGTTTAAAATGTTCAACAGGCAGTTTGAAACGGAGGCCTGGAGCTGCAGAGAGAGATTAATACCAGAAATACAGATCTGGGAATCATCTACAGAGAGATTAATTGAATCCATGGCAGCTGGTGAGATCACAGAGAGGGAGTGCAGAAAGAGAAGAGAATGCAAGATAGAATCTTTAGGTGCACCAACAGTTATGGAATGGGACATAGATTATGTTTATGATCCAGCAAAGAAACCTGAGAAATGGCCAGTCAGAAAGGAGAACCAATAAAGAAGAGTACCATGAAAACCCAGAGGGGAGACATCTTCCAAGAGAAGAGAATCAACAGTGTTAATTGCTACAGAGAGATCAAGAAAAAAATTGGGACCAAGGAAAGATCATTGAATTTGGCAATTAAGCAATCACTGGTAATTTTGGAGATGAAAGTTTCATTTGAGTGATGTTATCAGAAATCAAATTTTAAAGAGTTAAGAAGTAAGAATAAAGAAAGTGGAGGCAATGGATGTAGACTTTTTTTTTTCCTAGAAGTCTGGCTTCTCGGGGAAAGAGAGGGAAAGGGCATATAGAGTGCTAACTTAAGAGATGCTAGGATGAGATGCATATGTTTTGAGGATGACAGGGCCCGGGACATGACTGTAGGCAGCAAGTAAGAAACCAACAGATAGAGAGAGATGGAAAATATGGGGGATGGGATGATTGTGGGAGCAATCTTCTAGAGGAGATGGAAGGGGATGTGATCAAGGGTACAAATGTTGTGATCAAAGGTACACACACAGGTATCTAAATATGGGTGCTTAAAAAACACAGTCAGCTTTGGGAATACAAATAAACATATCACTTTGTCCAAGAAAGAGTGCCACTCCCATAATACCTTAATGAAAAAGAATTACCAAAAAAAATGGAAACTCAGTAAAGAATTTCTATAATATAATAGACCTAAGGGACAATCTTTTTTTTTTCATAAATTTTAAGTGAAGTGTTAGTGTAAAAAATGGGAGAAGTACCAAAGGAAAAGTTAAGTTGGATAACAAATGTAAAATTAAGTAAAGGACAACTATAAAGCAGCTCCTAAAAATTTTATTAGAATAGGTGAAAGAACAATCAGGGAAACTGTAAAATTACATACATAGGCTCAAAACATCAATAATATCAACAATTACAAGATAAATAAAGTAAAAAAGTATCAACAGATCAGAAAAGTAAAATTGAAAAATAAATCCAGAAAGTTACAAAACTGAAAAACCAATAACCAATAGATATATAAAACAAAATAGTGGATTTAGAAGTTGAAGAAATAAGTAGAAACGCACTTGGTTATTTTGGACCCCAGAAGATACCAATGGAGGAAAAAAAGGTAGACATTGCATTGGAAGACCTAATCACTTTAATTTTCTAGAGTGGACAAGATCAGGAAACATTCTTCAATAAAAACTGCAGGACACCAACAAGAAGAAATGCTCACATTGATTCATTAAGGCATATCATTATAAAATTACAGAATTATAAAGACAAAGAAAGAATTCTCCAAACTTCAATTTAAAAAGAAAACTCTTAAGGAAGTGTCAATCATAGCAACATACTTTTCAAAAACAAAGCAAAATATCAGAATTGGATAAAAAAAGTCTTCTTTAAAAAAATAGTTATTAGAAGACCAGCAAGGATTGTAGAGAAGAATGAAACAATACATTCCAGTTCTCCCCAAAACTACTCTAATTTTTTTCTAAAGAGCATCAGACTGAGCATTATTCATGAAGACAAAGAGGAAACCACAGTTTGTCAGTTTTCCTGCCCCAAATCACAAATTCAGCCCAAAGGCAAGTGACTAGGGCAAGAACTATGGAACAAGGGCAGACCTGACGATCTGTTGCCCAGAACCTGCAGGGTCTTTCAGTAAACCAATGGGGGCTAGGGCCAGCAACTGGATACTAGAACTGCACCTACAGTCAAGTCCTCAGTTGTGCTGCTTGGACGCAAATCAGGGTCTATAGCCTAGAAAGTCCAAGAAGGCAATGATCAAACTATGCCCTAGATCTGACTGGTTAACACTTTTTGAAAGTTTGCAGCAACCTGCAACCATGCCACCCATTTGATCTGTGAAAACCTCATTACTCAATTCCCAAAGAACATAGTCATAGAACCAACAGATAATACAAAGAACAGGGATCATAATGCAATATTCCAGGAAGCAAATGAATGTCAAAATCCTTGGCTTAGCACCAAGAATGTTAGCCAGAAAACAAAATATAATCCTACAGGAGGAAAAAATGTATAT